TACATTACCGACTCTCGCACGCTACTGCAAGCATTTGGAGCATGCGTAAATCAATCTCATCCATACGCGTCTGCTTTACGTAACTACTCAGTTTTATCAATAGACCGTTTAATGTGACAGCGTCTTATTTTAACGAGTTTGAACGATGCAAAGGGAATATGAGTGCGCTTCAGTGACGTCAAAGCTCCACGCTGATAGTCATGGTGACCTCCCCGTATCGAGTCACCATGGAAGACGGAAGCACTCGGAAGTAGCGGAATGGTGTATTGGGTAGAGGAGCCATTTTGTGTTATTAAAAACTCATTTAAAAAAAGTTTTTAGGGATTACTGCAAAGAAAACCAAATTTTTTCTTTCGAGACAATTATTAGATAAGTCATTTTTCCACTGCTTAAATTTCCACAGTTTAGAAAGCTCGCAATTATTCCAAACTGAGAATACAAACACTCCTGGTATAGTAATTTCAGATTTCAGGATTAGCGCCAAACTGGAAAATTTTACTTCTTTCGAGGTTTTTTGTTGGACTTTCCATCGGCGGCACAATTGTTGGGGTATGCACATATGTAATGGAAATGCTTCTGCCGGAGCAACGGATGGCTCTGAGAGCTTTCTTCAACTGGGTAATCCTAGTTTTATACTAAAATTAACTCAAAAAAAAACAAGTCATACGTTTGAATCTGGATTCAAGGCCACAAATTAGGGTACGTTTCATTTCATAATTGCAGGTTTTACACAAGCAGATATACAGATAAGTACATACAGACATAGGCATGATTTTTTTATAATGCGCTTTTGACTTATACAAAAAATACTAAAAGAATGACTAGGTTGTTTTTGTCAAAAATTTATTAGTTTTACCGCTTCTACCAAAATTTCCCGCATCTACCCTGCCCACAGGAAACAATCGTGACTACATTTTTGCTTACGCTTTTAATTTGCGAATAAGAAAAAACTGTTTCTTCATAAGAAAATGAACAGCTAGCGCAGTGTATGCTCAAATTCAGCCACTAAGCAGTAAGTATGAAATTATCAAGTTCATTCTAACGTAGATCGCAGGGTGTTGCGAGACTTATGCTGACCGTTATATGCTATTTGCTACCGGAATGGCGCATTGCTAGCTTCGGAAATGCTATTGCTGCACTGCCAGCACTTCTCATTGTGCTATTCATTTTTCCGGAAAGCCCGACGTGGCTTCACAGTAAGGTAAGAGTGTTGTACAATTTTTAAAGCTAACTTTCTGAAAAAATACCAAGACCACCTGAGCAATCGAGTGAAAATCTCTTTTTAATAATATTACTAGAATGCATTCACATGTCGGGACACAGCTCTGTTAGGCTGTTCGATCCTCAGCTACTTACCTGAGAGATATGCATTTTCGCACAGAAAAAATAATTGGCCAACGCACGGGCTGCCCGTGCGAAGATGCGTTTTTTGCATGATCCCCCGCAGTTTCTGTTGCTGCCAGTACCGGTTTTTTCGGCAAATGCTTTTAACTGAACAAATTAAGATTGGCCACCAGGACTGTCAGAAAATATCCCATTTAAAATTCCAACTTTTTAGCTTCGCTGGCACCTGAGTTAGCAACTTACTGGAACAAAATTTTCACGGGCCGTGCATGTTTACCAAGCATACCTGAGAGCTGATTCGGGCTGAATGAAACTTAGGTGGACGGGGTCAGCTGCTGGTGCTGTCAGCTACTGCTGCTGTCAACTGCTGCTGCTGTCAGCTACTGTTGTTGCTGTCAGCTGCTGCTGCTGCCAGCTGTTGCTGCTGTCAGCTACTGCTGCTGTCAGCTGCTCTATCAGCTGCTGTTTCTGCCAGCTGCTGCTGCTGCTGTCAGCAGTTGCTGCTTCCAGCTGACAGCAGCATTCCCCAAAAATTTCAGCTTTCTAGCATCTCAGAACCACGAGTTATGGATTTGCGCGGGAAAAATTTTGGGGGGCCTGTACGCGGGTACCACGCTTGCTCGGGGGCTGGGTTTGAGCCCACTAATACCCACTTGGGCGGGGAACATTACCCCAAGATTTCAGCCTCTTGGGTCCCGAGTTATGAATTTGCGCGAGAAAAATTTTGGGGGGTCCGTACGCGGGTACCACGCTTACCCGGAGGCCGGGTTTGAGCCCACTAATACCCGCTTGGGCGGGGAACATTACCCCAAGATTTCAGCCTTCTAGCTTTTTAGATCCTCGAGTTATGAACTGATATTTGAGCCCACTAATAGCCGCTTGGGCGGGGAACATTACCGCAAGATTTCAGCCTTCTAGCTTCTCGGATCCTCGAGTTATGAGCTGACCCCGGCACTAATAGCCGCTTGGGCGGGGAACATTACCCCAAGATTTCAGCCTTCTAGCTTCTCAGATCCTCAAGTTATGAACTGACCCCAAAAAAACTTTGGCGGGCCCGTACGCGGGTACCACGCAGGTTTTGACGCCAATTTTGGGGATGGGGGCCCGTACGTGTATGTAGATTATGTCCCCAAAGTTTCAGCCCTGTAACTTTTGCCGATCTCGAGATGAAAAATCGGTACAGACGAACACACAGACACACAGACGCACAGACACACAGACACACAGACACACAGACACACACACAGACAACCTCTCGTCAATATGCATTTTCTGCATTGCATAGCTGCAAAAAACGCATAAAAAGTTGACTTGAAAAAATCCAGTTCATTTTTGAGGGACGAATTAGTGAGATGCGCGAAAGTGAAAAAAAGATTGCACGTGTGGCCTCGATTCCATACGTTGAGGTGGAGCATAAAATGCCGGAAAAAAGCCAACGTTTAATTGATGTTATCCGACAATCTCAATATGCTAAAAGGTATGTGGAATATTTTCTTTCAGTGTTGTTCCTCATTTTAATCTTAGTCGAAACAAACTTCAGGATCACTTATAAATATTAGTGAGGCAGCGAGGGAGAATACTTCAGTCAATTAAGTCATATGTGCTTGTAGTATTTTTGTTCATAAAAGTGTTTACTAACCGAAAGTACTTACTAGTATATTCTTCGAAAAAAGTGATAAAATTTGCAAAAAAATATGCTTTCCTTTGTCAAATAATCCCAGTTATGCTCCTCTTTTCAAGCGATAAGGGAAAATATGTGTCATTTTTTTTGAAAAACCTTGATACCATCTTTGTCCTCAGTTGAAATAGGAAGACAAAAGGGGATGTGCCCCTTCCATTTATCGAAAAATCGTAACTGTGCTTCTATTCTTAAATGAAGAGGGAAAATAGGAATTTTATTCACACAGACAGTGAATTCAGGCTGTTTGTGTTATGGTTGATGTGGTTTACGGCATCATTATGTGGCTATGCAACAGATTTGAATTCATCGCGTATCAGTGGTAATTTATTTATAAACCAGGCACTCTTCTCCATTCTTATTGCAGCCTCTAAGGTTAATCACTCTCAAATACCTAAAATGCTAATTACTAGTCAGATCTGGTTCCTGTTGGCAATGCGCTACCACTGCTGGAGCTAGTTGCAAGTGCTTTTGCCTTTCATAGAGAACGAAATATCGAGGAAATTTGACTCCTAATTTTTAAAAAAAAAGTATTGAGGAAGGTTCGATTCCTGTCCTTTTTATAGAGGCGGGATACTTGAAAGAGCTTTGATCCTTAATCCTGAACAAAATGAAAAACTGAAGAATTTTTGACTTGTAATTATGAATAGCATGAAAAGCTGTGGGATATTTAGACTCTTAATTTTTATTATGCGTTTTTTTGCAGCTATGCAATGCAGAAAACGCATATTGACGAGGGGTTGTCTGTGTGTGTATGTGTGTATGTGTGTGTATATATGTGTGTGTGTGTCCGTGTGTGTCCGTATGTGCGCCTGTCACGGTTTTCCATCTCAAGACTTACAAAGCTACAGGGCTGAAACTTTGGGACCTTAGTCCACATGCACGTACGGGCCTCAATCCCCAAAATGAGCGCCATTACCCGCGTGGTACCCGCGTACGGGATCGTCAAAATTTTTTTCGGGTAAGTCCATAACTCGGGGATCTGAAAAGCTAGAAAGCTGAAATCTTAGGGGAATATTCCCTGTCCAAATGAGTATTAGTGACCTCAAACTCAACCCCCGGGTAAGTGTGGTACTCGCGTACGGGCCCGCCAAAATTTTTTTTGGGTAAATCCATAACTCGAGGATTTGAGAAGCTAGAAAGCTGAAATCTTACGGGTATGTTCCCTGTCCAAGTAGGCATTAGTCAGCTCAAACCCAGCCCCTGAGTAAGTGTGGTACCCGCGTACGGGCTCACCAAATGTCCTCGGTAAGTTGGTAACTCGAGTACCTGAGAAGCTAAAGGACTGTAATTTTCTGAGGATATACCCTGTCGACCTAAGTTTCATTCAGCTCAAACCTAACTCTCCAGTATGCGTGGCAAAACACGCACGGGTCCGTAAAAACTTTTTTCCAGTAAGTTGCCAACACAGGGAAGCTAGAAAGTTGAAATTTTAACGTGGTGTTTTCTGGCAGTTCTGGCGGCCAGTCTTAATTTGTTTGGCTAGAAGCATTTGCTGAAAAAGCCGATGCCGGTAGCAACAAAAACTGCGGGGAACTATGCAAAAAACACATCTTCGCGCGGGCAGCCCGTGCGTTGACCAATTATTAAAAAGGAGTACAGGGCGAGCTTTGATTCGTTGCCTGTGGTTGCATCATAGCAACATCGAAAGTTCCATACATAATGCCGTTAATTTTTATGCAGTAACACACAAACTCAATTGTTTCAGGTGTTATTGGTAATTTATGATACACTAAATAAAGCATTCAATCGGCGCAAATTGCATCAGTACGCGCAGGGAGCCGTTTGTATTTGCTTTCTCACTCTTACACTTCTCGTATCCCTTCATTATCAGGTACATTTTGTTATCTCTGCGGCCTAAATGCCGGATATTACATCCAATATTTAGCCTTGTTCTAGATATAGCATTTGTGCCAGTCCTTAGCATTACTTAGACTTGAACACTTGAGTCTGTTGTAACCTTGACTAGCAACTTTTACATTTACTTTGACCCATGCTGTATCGTCTGGTGGTCAACCTGCTAACATTCACTTCATCTCTCCTGACAAGTTCTGTCTTAAAAATCACCTATGATCCGTTTTCAGGGTGTAGCAATTCTAGTTATAAACCTAATTGGCACGGTTTTTATCGAATATACCTGGGATGCATGCTATCTGTGTGCTGTTGAGTCAATGCCCACAACGATGCGGGCTTCCTCGCTTGGCTCATGCTCGCTTATTGCCAGAATTGGTGCCTTGCTCTCGCCAACTGTAAGTTGAAATACACAAAAAATCCGTGTCATTGTTGGAATATTTCAGAATCAGAATTGAGGCTATTTCAAGATCCGTCTTGAGTTTGAAATAATCCAAGACAAGTACTGAGGTTGAAATTCCGGGGTATGTATTGAGGCTAAATTGTCCTAAGACCTCTACTGAGGTTGAAATACTCCAGTATCCGTGCCGATATTGAATTATCCTAAAATACGTATTGCTTTTTTGTCGAGAGCTATTGGACGGGAAAATTTTTAAATTCTCTTTTGCGTCTTACCATTTTCGTACCAAGTTCCGATCACCCTCATAACCCTTCTCAGTTCGCAGTGAGGTATCGTTATAAAAGTAGAGGACCTTTCTAAAACAAAGAACTTTTTCGCTAATTCCGTTGAGAAATTTTTTATTGTATGTACTGAGAAATTTGAACCCTCCCCCTCCCCCTTTAGCCCCGAAATATCTGATCTGAGAGTATTTTGAAAGAGGAAAACTGCTAATCACATCCCTACAAGCTGTTGCTTTACCTCTCAATATAACTCCATTTTTTTACAGCACCTCTTCTCCGATCG